TTGGGTAGTATACTCAATGCTAGTACTGTTGCTGCAGCAATGTGCATGGTGAGAACACATAAAATATTTTAGAGTGTTTGCTCCTCTAAGAAATTGTTTACTATGGGGTTAAATTATAAAGGGAGATATATCAACAATCTTTTTTTCACTTCATTTTATATTTAAAGAATTTTGTAAAGAAGACTTAAGTATATTGAAAATTATTTCTAAGGAATAGTCAGAATTGAAATTTTAAATTATACAATAATAAATATTAATAGTGTTTTTGAGGAAGTAGATAATGCTTAAAAATTAATGACAAAGGGCTAGGGTTGTGGATCAGTGTGTAGAGAGCTTGCCTAGCATGTGTCACGATTCCCAGCAGCATATTAAAAAATAAAAATCTGTGTCCATATACAGCTAAAATAAAAAAATATGTTTAAAAATATTGATGACAAAGATATCAGAAAACATAGAGCCAGGAAAATTATTTGGGTGTTTTTGTTTTCAGGGTTTTTTTTTATTACTGTGAATTTATTCCTAATTTAATAAAATGAGAATATAGTCTTTATTTGCTCCAAAGGATTATTGTGAAAAGTGGCTTTTTTTTTTTTTAAACCAGCTTCTTTGTAAGTTCGTGTAAACTATATTACCACTGATTTATTACTTTATTGTTGCACGGTAGTATAAGTTTAGAAATAAAACAAGCATCATAATGTTGTTTGTTTAAGATGAAGTTGTATAAACTTCAAAACTATACTTCCCCCCCCCACCCCCGGCAATCTGCTGAAAATTACTACCATTGAATTTTCAGGTTGTTACACGAACAGAAAAGGATTCTTCTATAGTTGCTTTTTCACATGAAATGGTACCATGCCCCATGACTACAGATATGACCTTACAACAGGTTTTAATAGCTATGAATCAGGTAAGAAAATTTTATTAAGTTTATTTAACATGAAAAAAAAGTACTTGGGCTTGGTGGCGCACATCTATAATCCCAGCAATTTGGGAGGCTGAGGCAGGAGGATTGCAAGTTCAAAGGCAGCCTCGGTAACTGAGCGAGGCCCTAAGCAACTTAGCTAGACCCTGTATCAAAATAAAAAGGGCAGGAGATGTTGCCCATTTGTTAAGTGCCTCTAGATTCAATCCCTAGTACCAAACAAAACAAAACAAAATATACTACTTAATATGTATTATACAGTAATTTTATATTGACATCTTGCATGCTATATATATGTGAGAACAAATTGTTTTCTCGTGAGAAGTACAAAATTAAAAAGAAACTATGGTCTTATTAGGGAAGGTATATATTTTATATATATATATTGGCTATAAATAAAATAACATGAAAATTGTATTTTTAAATAATTATTTCAGACATCTCATTTATGGACACTAGGGCAATTTTATTCTAATTCATGGGGGTTTTTTTGGTTTTTTCCCCTGGGTTAGATCCCAGCAGGTGGAACAGATTGCTCTCTTCCAATAATTTGGGCTCAGAAGACAAACACAGCTGCTGATGTCTTCATTGTATTCACTGATAATGAGACCTTTGCTGGAAGCATCCATCCTGCTATTGCTCTAAAGGAGTATCGAAAGGTAAAACAAACCCTGTTGTTTCTCATCTGAATAGTAATCCATTCTTTTTCATTGTTTAAAATAATAAAAATACTAAAGTAGTTCTGATCTTTGTGTAGACCCAGTGTCAATTATAGACTCAGCAGTACTTGCAATTATAAAAAGTAGAGCTGGGGAATGTGGCTCAAGCAGTAACGCGCTTGCCTGGCATGCGAGGGGCTCTGGGTTCAATCCTGAGTACCACATAAAAATAAAATAAAGATGAAATTATTAAAAGTCACTACAAATACATAATGTATTAAACTAGTTGCAGTGCTGTTACTAATACTATTGCAAATGGTAATAAAATATTTACCTTAGCTATACTTTTTTTTTTAATAATTCATTGTACTCTTTGAAAAATTAAAGTCTCATTTGTGGTATTTGCAAACAACTATAAAAAATTAAACAAAGCCATAATCTGTGTCTTAAATTTATGGAAATACCTATGTTCTAGACCGTGCAACCTGACTGAGCTTTCTTAAATGATATAAATGTTCTGAAACTACAGTAATGGTAGCCACTAATCACATGGGACTGTTTAGCACTTAAAATGTGACTTGTGACTGTAATTAGAAATAGACTTGTTAAGGAAGATGTTGTTCTCAAAGTATGGTTTCCCTACAAGCAGCCTTAGCATCACTTGGGACCTCATTAGAAAGGCACATTCCTAGGTTCCATCTGTCACCTCTAATCAGAAATTCTGAAGGTGGAACTGGCCTTCCAGGGAATTGTGATGCATGTAATTTTGAGAATCATAGGAGCAGGAATAGAACATAGATTTAATACAGCCTTAAATCTGAGTCCTGAGTCTTTCTCTTCCACAAACTGTGAATCCGAGCAAATTACTTAACTGATACATGTCACAATACATAATAGTACTTACCTTTTAGGATCAGAACAACAATTACATTAGGTATATTATTTATTTAAAGAGTTCATTGTAGTGTCTGACACTCAGTGATTATTGGTTTTTCTCAAATATTCAATTATTTTAACCATAAATGTAGAAGTAGAGAACAAGATCTTATGTATGCACACCTGTGATCCCAGCAGCTCAGGAGGCTGAGGTAGGAGCATTTCGAGTTCAAAGCCATCCTCAGCAATTTAGCAAGGCCTGAAGCAACTCAACAAGATCCAGTCTCTAAATAAAATTCAAAAAAAGGGCTGGGGATGTGGCTTAGTTGTTGATTACCCCAGGGTTCCATCCCCAGTACCAAAAAAAAATGTGTGTGTGTGTGTGTTTTTATCTTTTGTAGAACATGTATATATTGTATTTATGAAAACTACAAACCAAATGTAAAAAATCCCAAAGATGTATTTCCTTTTTCCTTATATTTGTGTGTATTCACACATATTACCCAACACTTGATATGTTGATAAAAATGTTTGGCACCCCTGAATATCCTAACAGGTTTCATAATTACAAAGTCTCCAGGCTGCTTAAAAATGTACTGTGGAACCCATAAAACAAAAATGTAGAACAAAGAAATTCAGGTAGGTTCTTTACACAGTTTTGTTTTACATTCTTGTATAGCTCATATTGTTGGACTCTAAAAAATTGAAGCAAAAATGACCTCCTCCCCCCAAAAAAATTGGGTTTTTAAGTAAAAGATGTGGTACAGAGATTTAAATTGTTATAATATTGGAAGTTTTTGTTTTTCCTTACATATAACTTGTTATGTATTTGGTGTTTTTTTGTGTATTTTTTCTACAGAAAATGAATATTCCAGCTAAACTCATTGTTTGTGGAATGACATCAAATGGTTTTACCATTGCAGACCCAGATGATAGAGGCATGTTGGATATGTGCGGCTTTGATACCGGAGCCCTGGATGTAATTCGAAATTTCACATTAGATGTGATTTAACTATAAACACCATCATGACCTAAGAGGTCCATTGCTATCGCTGAAAATATGCAGCTACTTCCCACCTAATCTCAATCCAGTGAACGATGATAGTGCAGTGTGTGCATAATTGAAAGTAACTTTACCAAAAAAAAAAAAAAATTAAAAACTAGGAAGAAGGAAAAATAAAGATGAGCCCAAAGTTCTATCTACTAAACTAGCTCTTGGGAAATAGCTTCAGGATATTACAGCTTCCTCTCTCTCATAGAGAACTTTTTGTTAATAGATACTATAAAATAGTCGAACAGTTTTGCTCTGGTCAATGATACATTTGTACTTCAAAAAGGTGATATCCAAAAGTAAGCAGTTCCACATCATGTTACTTATTTGAGAAGTGCTTAATGTTTTCTTAAATGTTTTCATTGGAAAAGGACAGCTTTGATAATACCCAGATACTCTGAAATGCACTAGACCATATAACTGTGAAGGAATATGAAACTCATCTGTAAACTTTTATATATATGGGATAAAAAAACCTAAGACACATGATTAAATTATGAGTGAGTTTTAAAATTTCCTTTCAGAGTTTTCTAAGATCATATAAATAACAGCTTTCTTATTCAATGAAACAGATATTTTATTCTTGATGTTTTATAGTTGTAGAATCTGTTACCATTAAGAAGAAACATAATGGAAAACCCTAAGAATGTTATAGGGCCTGAAGAGACTAAAATTTGTTGGGTGTGGAATTGGTTTTCTTTGTTTATTGTGTTTTATTGCTCTGAATGAAGGCTGTAACTTGACAGTGATTTCCTCTAAATAACAACATAGCCTCATGTTGTCACATTTTTGGTTTTCATACTCACAAAAGGAAATAACATTTCAAGAACTTGAGTTCCCTATTCATAATCTTAACAGTATAATAATTAGAATCTCAACTGCCTTTGTGACAGAACATTCTTTTTTGATAGGGCAAGCCATGTCTTTCAGGTTTGAAAAGCAGTTTTTGAGTAGCATATTTTGAACTAACCAGTCTGTAGGAAATTGCTATTTTTATCTTTTGTTTATGTGCATTAAACTTTCTTTACATTACACTAACATATGCATTATTTTCTTGAACAAGTATCCCCATCTTCATTAGGAAGTTTAACATTAAAGCAATCTGTTGAAATGTTAGTATCTATTCTCATAATTCTATAAAGGTTGTCTAAGATAGCTGTTACATGTAAAACTTGCATTTTTATGCATTGTTCTTTAAATATTAAATAAAGATTTTTTTAGGGTTCTTAAAGCTCTTATGATAAATGTAAAACAATAGTAAACATAAATTATAACCACCTATGTGCTTGGGAATTAGAGATTTTATGTTTTGGAGGCAAGGTGACTTTAATAGTGTGAGGATTTGAATATGTATTTCTTCTATTTTCATAGTAGTTTGGGGCTTTGGGAACAATAAGAAAATGTTCTTTTCAAATGTATTTGGCATATTAATGGTGGCTTTGATATTTAGCTATTCCTGCAAGACAACTAATAGCAGTTTTTAAAACTAGTAACAGTTATTTACGTAAGAGATTTTTGGTCCACAAAGCTAGTTGTATCTCCCACTCCAGATACACATTGTTTCTGATGTTTTTCTGGTTTTAACCCTCTATCTAGCATGGAATGGATTTAACAGCCACTTTTGATACAGTATTATGTTTAGATCAAATTTGAAGAACCCAAGATCTTCAAAAATTAAAAATTATAATATGATTTTTTATTCCTAATAGAACTGTTAAATAGAATATGTTTACTTAACTTCAGTTATGTGCTATTTAGATAGAGCGAGCTTTCATACAAATATAGGAGCTAATTTTAAACCCATCAGAAAAATGTATTAGAGGAGACTTTTTGAAGTATTTAGATAGGTCTAATTAAATGAATTAGAGTAAGATTTAAGAATGACAAATATGAAAGGAAAACTGAAAGAAGCCACCAGAGAACATAATTTTACTTTCAAATTATGACACTTTAGAGCTTGAAGGATACCTTAGAAACTTAAAAACTAACTTTTGAATTTCATCTGGAGACCCAAGGTTCAAAACAGAATGCTATTTGATTCTCTTAACACTATACGTGATCTACAAATCTTGGTCTCTTCATTCCCGTTACACTTTTCACTCCCCACATCGTGGGAACACATTCACTTAGAAGAATAGAATTATTCTCAGAAAATAGAATTATTGAAAACTTTTAAGGAAATGTATATACATGATTGCTTTAAGAGTAGAAAAACAGATGTAAACATTATCATTTTTAATTCATAGTAATCCTCAAGCACAATTATTGTTTTAATAAGCTATGTTGCTATATAACAGTCCTATAGAAAAAAGTAAAAGACTTTACCTCATTATAAATAGAATGTACTTGAGTGATAAACAAGCTTTATTTTCTGAATTACTTCTAGGATTACTGTTACATTAATATTGGGGAAAATACTGCTTTTAAAAACAGTCCTGGGCTGGGGATACAACTCAGTTGTTAGAGTCCTAGGTAATGACATATTTCCAAGATATAGTTGTAATTAGTACAATAAAAAATGAATTTACAGTCTCACCTTTTCTTATTAGTTGAAATTCTTTGGAAACTATTTATTAAAACATTAGCTAAATAACTATTTTAAGAGAATGTTAGTGTGGCCATAAGGTTGTGAATGAAATTTAGTGTTGCCCCATTGGAACCTCTTTTGCTTTCTCACTTTTTTTTTTTTTTAAGAGAGAGAACTTTTTTTTTTTTTTAATATTTATTTTTGGTTTTCGGCGGACACAACATCTTTGTATGTGGTGCTGAGGATCGAACCCAGGTCGCACGCATGCCAGGCAAGCGCGCTACCACTTGAGCCACATCGCCAGCCCCTGCTTTCTCACTTAACTGTGTGGTTGTGACTCAACCTGTTCTGTTCTTGCAGTTTTCATAAAGTAACATTTGATGCTTGGGTAGTGGAAGAATTAGTGATTTATTATTGAAAAATTAAAAGGCTCACGATACTAGTTAGAACTTTTTTAATTAAAAATATTCTTGTTAATAGATACGAGTTTTGAAGGATTAAAATGTTTTAGAAAACTAGTTCATTAGGCCAAGTAATTTTTTTAAACATTGCTGTTCAGAATGGAAAAATGCAGAAGAAAGATTTTCACAGATAATATATTGACTAAAAATTCACAACACTCTGATAAAGAAGGAAGAAATATATTCTAACACTAACAGCCTCTTGGATAGATGAAAAAACTATATCTAAGGGGATAATATAACACATTTGCATGAGCTTTTAAAATGATAAGTCTAAAAATGATGAAATACTATTTATTGGGTTCTTTTTTTCCCCTACATTTTGCAAAAATACATGTATAAGTTTTGGAAAGATAAGGCAGAATTACTGATTAAATTTGAGGGTCTGACAACATAAACTGAAGTTTAAAAGCTGAAGTCTAGTCTTAATACCACAGGTTGGGGTGATTTAAGGTACTGTCATATACCCTCAATATAAACATGCACAAGAAAGACTAAGAAAATGTTAAGCTATGAAATTACTATATATTGTATGGATTTCACTTAGTGTTTGCCCGATGTCTTCACCTTTATCTTATTTAATGAAAATTCCTTTTATACCTCCCCCCCCTTTTAAAATTCCTTTCTTCTAACATTTTCACCATCTTTTTTTCTAGTCTTATCTACCTAGGTAATTAAATGACAGGAAAGTCAACCAAATTTAAGAGAGATGAATGTCTTTTAGACTGCTTTTTGTTTCATACAGATTTAAGGTCATATTTTTTTTCAAATTTATAATGACAGGTCTCTTAGAGCAATAACCAGATTGGTATGTTCTCTCTCCAAATCAAGTTATATAATAAAAAATGTATTAGATGTTTCCAGAAATTGTGTGGTCTTTCACTAATATCAGTGATTGACCCTTCATTTGTATTTGTAGATGTACCTACCTGTGTTGAAAGGAACTGCTCTAGTGTACAAGCACTCGTCAGAAAATAGTTAACTACTCTAGCCAAGTGTAGTGGCACACACCTAAAATTCCAGTGACTTGGGATGCTGAGAGGGGGATCAAAAGTTCTAAGCCAGCCTTAGCAACTAGGAAAATTCCCTGTTACTCTAAACTTGGCAAGACCCTATCTCAAACAAAAAGAGCTGGTAATATAGCTTGGTGGTACAGTGCCCTGGGTTCAATACTTGGTACCAAAACAGAAAAATAACTAACTAGTCTTTAATAAAATACCATATCTCATGTTCATATTAAGTATTTCACTGAGTAAACTCCCTCATCCCTCGCCACAAACACAGCTTACAGCATAAAAAGCCTTGTATATAACCTGTATTGGAATTAAATGCTTTTTAATTGGTAAATTTTTATTTGCTTTTCTGAAAAATTATGGAATTTACTTTAAAAAGTTAATTCTAAGATAATATTTTTATGTAGAAAACTAATGTAGCTAATCATACTTTTTGAATAAAGTTATAATAAATGGCACATTTTCCTAATCCCTGAAAATACCAAGGTATACAGGAAAGTGATAGAAAAGTGAATATATTATAGGATTCTGTTACTGAAATTAAGGTGAATAAAAATCCACAAAAGGTTGTTTCCGATTCTGAAGAGTTTTTTCCTTTTGCTTCTATTTTACTTAGTCCTTCCATGCATATTTACTTTACGAACACAAGTGACATGTAGTTTTTAATTTTAAAATGTTTAATTTTCTGCACTTTATAAGTTAGCAGAATCTATACTTAACCAAATAGTAAATTAGTTAATATTTCTACTGGTTTCACTTAATAAACATTTAGACTGTCAAGGATAGTGAATGAAGTTAAATATAAAATTGTTGGAATGCTGTATTAAACATTACTTAAACTTCTGTTAAAATACCTATTAGGCTTTATTTGCAATGTAAACTTTAGAATCCCTACATAACCAAATTAAATTTAAAATGTTTTACATAGTAGATAGTAAAAAAGAAAAACATTTTTATTGCACTGTTACTCTAAACTACATATAATTTTGTATGATGTGACAAGACACAAATTTTGTAATGTGTTTGAGTTCAATTTTCTTATTTTTATTGCCAACTTGTGAGTATGAAGAAATTGTCCAAAGGGATGAGATAGATATATGGAATAATCTTTCAAGGGGGAGGAGTGGAAGTAGGGAATGTTATAATCTAATTCCAAACTGCCCGTTTACTTTAGTAAAGGCTTTGAGTTCCCTAATTGGTCACTTGGTAAATATTTAAATTATTCAGACTAACGTCTGTATAAAATAAATTTAAATATATAAGAGCCTTAAAGTGAAAAATGACCCTTTTGACTGCCTTAAAATATGACTAGCTCTCCTATACAGACATACTAGTTACTTTCTTTGGGGTCTGTTTATTAAGTAATGCCTTAATAGTGTTATAATGTTTCTGAAGTACAGAATTCAAAGAGTCTTTCTAGAGCTTTTAATTTTACATAATGAATGGGAATTTAACTGCTAAGTTTAAAACCTGATTGTACATTAGTAATTTAAACACATTAATAGGATAATCTGGGTACACTGATGTGTTATACATATGTGACTGTTAACATCAATAATATTTTATGGTAGTTTAATATTTTTTATTGTTTTGTATAACCAGTTATCCAAAAAGCTGGGCTTTATGACTACAACATGACTGCCATGGACCAAGTTCATATATTTAACAGTATGAATGACAAATACAGTTGTACAGTCCCAAAAATGATTAATTTTTAAGGGAATATTTTGAGACAGAAGGCAAATATTTTGTTTCAAGCCTACAAACAAATTCAAAGAAGTGAATATAGTATTAAAACATTGAGACAATTGCAATAATAATATTTCCAGGTCAGTAATTTAATTACATTTGCATTTTTACATTCACTTTGCCTTTCAAAGCAGGAATATTTTATAAAGCTAAAAGAATAAATTGTCAAGCTGGTGCTTAAAGGTATATAAAGTTTGATGTTTCATAAACATGTTTGGTGTTTATTTCATTTCTAAGGAAAACCCTTAATGGGGGCACGCGGAGTTTTCTAAGATTATTGATAGATAATTTGTCAAGTCTTCCAAGTTTTCACTGTAAATAATACATCTAATGTAATTTTGCTGTTTTCTGATTGGGAATGGATAAATGTGCTTATGATTAAATTTATTTCATGATTAAAGTTTTCACCAACTATGGTGAAAAATCTTGACTACTTCTTTCCAGCCTTGCAAAATACCCTACTCAATATAGTTTTGAGTATCCCTTATCTGACATGCTTAGAACACAGAAGTGTTTGGAATTTTTCAGATTTTGGAATATTTGCATATACATATTCATAATATTTGGGGGATATTCTATATACCTAGCCTGAAGGTGATTTTATAAAATATTTTTAATGCACCTGCATTTGACTGTGACCTCCACATGAGGTCAAGTATGGATTTTTTCATTTGTGGTATCATGTCAGGGCCCACAAAGTGTCCAATTCTGGAGCATTTCAGATTTTGGGTGTTTGAATTAGAGATGCTCAACTTGTAATTCATTTAGTTGTGGAGTACAGGTGGGCACTATGTGAACTGCTTCTGATCTGTTTATTGTAGAAATTGATAGGGGTACCAAATAAATACTATGCACATCAGAAAAACGTCTGTTTATGTTTATTTTTAAAAAATAAGAATTTTAAGTTAGGGATATAGCTCAGTGGGTAAAGTATGTATGGTTGGGGATTCTTTTCCAGTAGAGATCTAGTACAGGATCAAGACAATTTGATTTAGTGAAAATGCAAATTCTTAAAACTTGTTTTTGAGTTATGCTAACAAAAAAAACTGAACTAGGTAAATAAAAGCATTTTGTGTCAGTGTCAATTTAAAGAAATTATCTCAATCGTAAAAGTTATCAGGTCTGAGGTATAGGATAATACCAAAGAGTGAGAGCAAGTTGCATCAGAATATACTCACCAAAACTTCAAGTATTTGGATAATTAGTTCTGTATTTAAAATCAAGAGCCAGGTACATTGGCACATACATTTAATTCCTGGAACTAGGGAGCCTAAGGCAGGATGATTCAAGTTTGAGGCCAGCCTAGACAATTTAACAAAACCTTGTCTCAAAATAAAAACTAAAAAACTAGGGATGTAGCTCAAAAGTAAAGTGCCCCTGGGTTCACTTGTGAACTGTTTTCAAAAGTTCATCTTTATACAATCTTCCTCCATTTAATTTTTGTTCCCTGGAACTATCAAGTCACTAAATGAGTCATTTGGTTTCCCCAAGGTAAAATTCATTCCATTCTATGAATTTTAATGTATAAGACATACTGTATAAGACATACATTGCTCTAGAAGTAGAATGTGAAGGCTTTACACAATATGGTAGAAGATATCCCTACCTGATTCACAACTGTTATTAATGAGAACCTTAAATTTGAAAGAAACTCACATCAGTCCTTACTACTAAAACTACACAAGGTAAGGAGTTAACTCCTGAATGCTATAGGGAATAATTTCAAATGCTTATCTCCTAGCTCTTTGCTGTAAAATTCATATATAAATTCCTAATGAAATGCATTCTTATGATATAACTACCCCTTTGGTTATAAATATCATCTCTTGCTCAAGAATTGGCAAGTAAGAAGATGAGGTGTCCACAGCCATTTATTTTTCATTATTTTTAATCATGAAGATAATTCACATTTAAAACATCCTCAAATATTTAAAAGGCATTATCAGGTATTATCACATTAACATTTACTAGTCATGGTAAGTACCTACATTACTGAAATTCTCTCTTCTTTTTTAAATAACATTGATGAACTAGTGGTAGCAACTTCCCTTCTTTATGAAGCCTATGAGTATCAGTTGCACCTCCAATAAAAGTTCCATTGACAAATATTCTTGGAACCTGTTAGATAAATAAAAGATAAATTAGGCTTAACTTATTGTTAGAATTATGAAATCATTTCTGACAATTGCTGACACTCATACTTGGGTACTATTTTTTAGCCTGATTTTGGAGGAAAATGAGGAAGAATGTGCCCAAGATGACAATCTTAGTAAATGAGATGATCGGAGATTCAAATCCAGGAAAATCTGATTCTAAAGGCCTTCCTCATAATCACTATGGTATGTAACACAAAAATAAAAGTATTTATAGTGTTTAAGTAGTCTTTTCTTAACATATCACTAAAGGGGGAACATATACCATAAACTTCCGTGCAAATATAAAAGGAAAATAGCAACATAGTTTTTTTTGTTGCATATTAGAAAAATCCATAAACATGGTAGTGCATTCCTATTAGCACAGTCACTAAAGAATGACCCCTCTTTAGCACCTTTATTTGGAAAGAGGACCTTAAAAAACTCTACATAAGTACTTATAACAACACCATCATCCCCTGTAATCCCAGTGCCCAAGCAAGCACACACGCAGTAAAAATAAAAAACAAAATGAATTAACTCTGCTTTTCCCTATTATAAGACTCTGGTATCCAAATTTGCCATTTCTTGGTATCTTCAGAGAACTTCTGGCTTCCTTTTCCTAATACAAAGTCTAGTCTCTAGGTGAACCAAGTTACCATCTATTACGACAGCACAGCTGAGGATATACTCACAGTTCTTTCTCCAGTCATTTTATAAAGAGCATCTTGAAACTGGCTCCCATATTCAAGCATGTCCAATTCCACTGCTTTATAATTAACATTCATGTCACGGAAAATATTTTTTGCCATTGTACAGTAAGAACAAGATGTTTTTGAGAAAATTACCACACAATTATCAGAAATGGTTTCCTGAAATAAGACCGAAAAGAGAATCATTTTAATTCTCAACATTACCTTTTAGAAAGAAATCATGATAGAGTGGATTTTAGAGGTCTCACAACTGAGGAATCAAACTAAGTTATCATCTGTTTTAACATCTGCAAAGTGAGGATATTATTCATTTCCAAGGGATGTTAGAAGGAGCAAAAATGTAACAAATATAAAGTGCCTGGCAAGGAATAGTAATGATACTAACAAATAACAATGATAAGTCAATTCGTGAACAGCTAACACTTAGGTGTAAAAGCACTTTTCTCGGCACTTCACGAGATCACTGAAATTTCAGTATAATCCTGAAGTAGGTCTTATTATTTTCTCAATTTTGCAGGTGAAGAAAATGAGGCACAGAGCCAGGCATGGTAGTATATATCTGTAATCCCAGTAGCTGAGAAGGCTGAGACTCGGTAATTTAGCAAGGCAACAGGCAGCATAGTGAGATCCTGTCTCAAAATGAAAAATAAAAAGGACTGGGGATGTTGTTAAGCACCCCTGGATTCAATCCCCAGTACCAAAACGAAAGAAAGAAAATGAGGCACAGAGGTAGATATATAACTTAATGATCCTCATCTATCAGTGGGTGAACTGAGCTTTGAGCCCAGGCAAATCTGGCTCTATAATAGATCTAGACATGTAATCTCTGTTACACTGCTTCTCAAAGGTAGGTGTTCAAAAGGAATTAACTCCTTGCTTCTTAATAACTTTCCTTAAAACACTAATCCAGGTATAGACATCAGCTTCCTCCTCCACTTCCATTCAATCCTATATATCTTTGTAGTACAGAGCTGTCAGCACTATATTGATAAGGAATTCTTATATTGTTGGTCCTATAAAAGCTACTTCCAGAAATGCTGATTCAATGGGTTTGAAGCAGAGGTCAGAAACTATTTTTTTTTTTAATCTTCTACAATGGTTCTTACAATACCAGCCTGGTTTGGAAGCTACTCTCCAGGACTTTAACCCAGTGAGCATGAAAATGCTGTGCATCTACATGGCCATTAAAGTTTGGTTTTTGTTCTGTTTCTAAATATTTTTATATCCTGATCCTTGAAAAGATTTTTTAAACAGACAGGTCTGGCACTTAGGCATCTGTGTAGATTGTTTTCACATGGGTTATAAGTAGCACCTTGAAGATGAAGGTCAAAAACGACATACAATACCCAAAGTACTTTAGAAGTTATATCCACCCTTGGGTGCTAGAAGAATCCTCAGTTATAGCATAGCTGTCTGTAAGCTGATCTGTTTGGGGGGCGGAATTGAACTCAGAGGTACTTAACCATTGAGCTCTATCCCCAGTCCTTTTTAATTTTTTGAGACAGGGTCTCACTAAGTTGCTTGGTTTGGGTCTTGCTAAATTGCTAAGGCTGGCTTTTAACTCAATCCTTCTGCCTAGACTGAGAAGTTTGCAATACTTGGATTTGACCTAATCCTTCACAACACCAAAACCAGGCTATTGCCTCCACTATGCTGCCATGGGTTCTAGCTAGGCTCACTGAGGCCATGATTTGAAAAAAGAACCATGCTGGATACCAGCATGAAATAGAAAACTAATGAAGAGATTCCAGAGTGAGCTAGAACTCAAGGTGACAGTGCCAGGTTCTCCTGAACCCTCATGGTCTATTTTTATTTTAAGAAGCAATCCCAGCTGGGCAACAGTGGATTACACGCCTGTAATCCCAGGGGCTCCATAGGCTGACAGGAGGACCGAGAATTTAAAGTCAGCCTTAGCAAAAGCGAGGTGCTAAGCAACTCGGACCTTATCTCTAAATAAAATACCTAATAGAGCTGGGGATGTGTCAGTGGTTGAGTGCCCAATGTAACATCAGGCAAGGAGAGGAGGGCATTGACCAAAGGAGGCAGATTTAAAAAGACCACCAAATGAGGCTTTATTTGAAATATCACTCCCAGGCAGAACTCCATCAGACCAGACCGACATAGTGGACAGGAGAAACCTGAGGGTCTGAGGAAAAACCGCATGGGAACTCAACCGGACTGGGATTTTATGGGGCTCATGGCAGGAAGGGAAGGGCTTGGGACAGGAAAAGGTATTTTTAGAGTCTGGGGTACTGTTGGAGTTGGTCAGAGGAGTTGGCTGAACTCCAGGATTGGCCAGGGGGTCCTGCTGATTGACAGACATTTCTGTTGGCGCCAGATTGATGTTTCTTTCCCTCGAAGACTGAGTTCAATCCCTGGTACCCACCCACCAAAAAAGAAGCAATCCCTTCACAGTAAGTTTCCACCATTGCTGTTATATTCAACAGCCATGAATTCAACTAAATGCAGGGTTGTCTTTTTTCAGTGCTAGGGATCAAACCCAGGGCCTCAAGCACATGAGGCAAGCACTCTACCACTAAGCTACTCCTCCAACCCAGGGCATAAGTTTTTTGTATGTGTGATAGAAAGTGGTGAAAAAGAGAGAAAGAAAGAAATGGGAATGTTTTATAAGCTACAAGGGAAGAAAAATATGCATACATATAGAAGAAATTTTCTGAGGCAGAATTAACTATGATTGACCATGAAAGAAAGGAAAGCAAGAGAGCACAAAAGCATACAGTATCCCAGAATCAAAATATGTAGTAACTGTTGCATACTAGGGTCTATGTCAAGATAGCTACTAAACATTAGCATGTACTGCACTCCGAGTAGCTAGTATTTTTATAAGCAGATAAGAGGTTTTTAGTAAGCCAGGCTCGGAGGCATACACCAGTAATCCCAGTGACTCAGGAGGCTGAGGCAGGATCATGAGTTCAAACCCAGCCTCAGCAACTTAAGCCCTCAGCAACTCAGCAAGACCCTATCTCTAATAAAATACAAAAAAGGGCTGGGAATGTGGCTCCATGGTTAAGCAGCCCTGGGTTCACTTCCTGGTACACAAAAAAAAAAAAAAAGGTTTTTATTAAAGAATTTGATTTTGCCCAAACAGAGGTATTGCCTTTGTCTCTGACTCCTGGAAAGAAGCCCTTAAATCTTTGGAATTTCTTGAGTGACACAAATGCCTTTGTTATTTATAGGGGGTGAGGGGACCCTCAGCCCACACTTGATGTTTACGCTAAACATGTAACCCTAGGCCAGGTTAGATAGAACTGGGGCTGAAAACTGGGTTCAACCATTTGGATAACAAATCCATCACCCACACCCTAAATAATGAAGCTTCAGTAAAAACTCAGGACACAGAATCTCAAATGACCTTCACTGGATGACAATACTCTACAGATGGCACTGTCAGTATTGGAAGAGTATCTGAGGACAATGAGAATTTCATATTTAGCACCCTTGCAGAAATCCATTCTCTGTATCTTTTCCTTTGGCTAATTTTGATCTGTACGTTTTCCCTGAAATAAAATAGAACTGTGAGAATAACAAAACAAAACAAAACAAAACAAAAGCAAGCAAGCCCAGGTCAAAATCAAACAGTCTCCCAGGCTATGGACAGCATAGTGATGAAAGAATAGTCAGCCATATAGATCCAACCTGGAGTATAAATTTCAACAAGAATAAATCTCAGCCAGGTACAGTGGCACATGCCTGTATTCCCAGCAACCTGGGAAGGAGTCTGAGGGAAGAGGATCACAGGTTCAAAGCCAGCCTCAGCAACTTAGTGAGACCCTGTCTCTAAATAAAAAATAAAAAATGGCTAGGGATGTGGCTTAATGGTTAAGCACCTCTAGGTTCAATGCTTGGTACCAAAATAAATACATCTTAGAAATTCTGACTACCAAAATGATGTAGGACTTCTTTGCCATGTGAATTATGATAACAGATTTCAAAATAAAAATTTGCTTAGGAATTCGCGTGCTGAACTTGTCACATCTGGACAGTGAATAAGCATATTAAATGGGTGTCCGGAGGGAGCCAGCCATGGGCTGTGTGTGTGAGCTATGTGCATTTGAGTGTATGAGGGGACTGGTCTGGTGTTGCACACTGATTGGGCTGTGCGAGGCAAATGTGCCTTCCTCTCTCTCTGCCTGTGATCCCACTAGCACCTGAGATGGGTGTGACTTGCCAAGATGTCAATCTGCTGACTACAAGACATCACCAATTATATATGCCTTATTTGGGTGAAATATTCTATCGAATGTCTTCTCCCCAATAAATAGGGGAGTTTTGGGTGTGCTCACTCTCTTGCTCTTTCTAGCGCTGCCCAGCATGGAGCTGACCCTTGGGGTCACCAGGCCATCCTGCTCTCAACCATAGAAACTCATGTTCATGTGCCGCATGGTTTCTTCACTGTTTTCTTAGTTATTGATACAGCCAGCTCCTTTGAACCCAGCTCATCTTGCCAGCACAGCCAGCTGGCAACAAATGGATAAGACAATTCTTTCTTCTGAAGAGGAAAATAATTTTCCTGTAATTCCCACATCACTCACTTGGATTTGGTTCACAGGAGTAGTTTCTGACTTCCCCAAAGATGATGATGTATGGTTCCCCATCCTAAAAGGAATTTTAAAAGGCAGTGTAGTTAATTAAATGATAATCTATCACAAGTTCCATATAAACATTCAAATATATAAAATAGAAAAAAAAAGGTTTTACTTATCAGTGTAAAGATCAATTTACAAAGCATTAGGTTACTAAAACCAAAAGGACACGTGTTCTTAACTATGGTCCTTATTCCCTTGATAAAATCACATTCCCTGTGTTTAAAGTTCAGCATGATCTTTCTCATAAATAAATAAATCCATAACCACCAGATTTCAAACATTCTGTCCTATTGATAGCCTGACTATGGGTTAAAATATATGGTTTTCATTTTCTTAAAATAGGCAGAAATTTTACTCTGTGTGGCAATGAACACACAAAGATTTAAGGATTTTAAGGAAAATAAGGTACCCTAACCAGGAGGGTCTGTAGCACCCATGTTTTCCAATCCACAAAATACAATGAACAAGAATCACTCTCACCTGAAAGGGTTTTGTGAAGATTAAATAAATTTATCTGTAGAAAACAGAACTGTGCCTTCCACACAGTAAAGTTTGAAAACATTTGATATTACTATTATTAATTCCTCATTATGTCAGTATTTATTAGCCACAGCTGTTGGGAGCTTGTAAAAGGAGGCATCCATGAAACAGGAAAATAGTCACTAAAAAAACCAACCAGTTAAACATCATCATATATATCTCTCTTCTTATCCCTACAACCTTTCTTTCCCTTATCCACTCATCTATTTTGTTCAGCCATGCCCTACTGCACTGTAGAAGCAAATCAGACATCATGAGGCAAACTAATTGCAAAGTAAAATCACTAAATTTTAAAAAGAATTGAGATAACAGATGTTTTCTAAGAGAATTATTTTAATATCTTAGGAGTAATAAAGTAGGACAAGCTGGGTATGGTAGCATAGATTTGTAATTCCAACTACTGAGACAGGAAGACCTCGAGTTCCAGGCCAGCCTGAGCAAATCTGTCTTGGAAAAAAAAAAAGAATAACTCAAAGAACTGAAAGTTCAAATATTTTTTAAATGTTTTCCTTATGATTATATGGCAAAATACAAATTCTGATATAAGAAAAAAATGCTCCCTTCCAAATCAATGCTCCATTCTTCATAAGTACATTTAAAATAAAAAAAATGTCACTTTCAACTATTTTTAGTTGTTAGGCGAATGTCATATTTCAAAGGTTCCAAAGCTTGCTTTTGTTTTTTTGTTTTCATTTTGGTACTGGGGATTGAACCCAGGGGCACTTAACCCCTGAGCCACATCCCTAGACTTTTTTATTTACTTATTTATATGTGGTGCTGAGAATTGAACCCAGTGCCTCATGTGTACTAGGCAAGCACTTTACCGCTAAGCTACAACTCCAGCACACTTATTTTTTATTTTGAGACAGGGTCTCCTAAGTTGCTTACTTCCTCACTAAGTTGCTAAGGCTGACCTCCAAGTTGTGATCCACCTGCCTCAGCCTCCCAAGTCCCTAGGATGTGCAAAGCATTTTTTTTTAAAGAATTGTATAGCATGAAATTTTAGTCCTGTTTTAGTTGAATCCATTTTAAATGGCTTTTTTCCACTACATGTTATCCTTGGATAACTAAGGAGGACAAGGCAGCTTTGAGAAAAAACTGGGACTGAGTTGGTAAAGACTAAACAGAAAAGGTTAGGCAGTGCTGGCCTGGACCAAAGGAACTCTAGATAGGATAAATCTGAAGTTTTATTTGGCTTTTCAACTAAGAAAACAAGTCCCTTTCATCTCAAGTCCAGCACTGAACTGTCATTCCCAAACCATTTACTACAGCATTTACTACTGAAGTAGGAGTTCCAGTAGAACTTTCCTAAAAGAATGTTTTCTTGGGTAGTGAGAGATATAGGTGTACTCTTAAGATATCATCCTCTTCCCTGTCAAATTTCTGGAAGGCACCCTTCCCCCTTCAATTTCTACTTTTTCCTAAATCAGCTTTTAAGGAAAGGGGCATTCACGCAGAAGGTAACTGCACAGTAATTTCACTTCAGCATTGATAAAAGGCCTACTACTCTGATAAAGCATCTTATCAGCGGTAAGTAGCAAAGTGCTACGTACCCCCAGATAGATACACTTACTAGAGAAACACCATTGGGCCTCAAGGACCTGTCAATCAAATAGTGATTAGCGCTTTCAAGATGGGCTCCGTGGCTTGTTCTGTAAAGTTGATCAAGAGTTCCTAGAGTCTTGCAAAACTAGTTCCTAGATTATCTAGATAAGGAAAGACAACAAGACCCAAGGTAGCAGCTGGCAGAACAGACACCTGTGGCGTGGGCGGGTTCAACATCAACCAGGGCCGTCAGTGGGTCTCAGCTGCCAATCCGGATGCCCGGGGTATTCAAAGCTGGGAAGAGGATGGAAACACTGCCGCTGTTTCCAGAGGCAACATCTACGTGAATGTCACAGTCCCCATCCTCAAAGCCTTGGCCATTTAGTAGGATCGTCACCTTCACTTCCTGCGGTAAGGTTGGCCAGGTTTAACAAAGGGAGACCGATTAAATTAAAACAATAAATACCCTTCGTTTTCAGTATGTCCAGGACCATATTTAGGACATACTTCTGTACTAAGATTCACTCGCTGTTTATGTGAAACTGCAAATCATAAAGGCGTCTTGCATTTGTATCTAGTAACCCACAGCAGGGTGGTCCAAGCCAGTGCGACTCGAATATTTTCAACCTGTGCATCCCGGGATCCTTAAATCCATACAACCGCTGAGGGCACGGCTCTCCCCTGGCGTCCTGGGCCTCCGCTGGGTAGGGCTCAGCGCCCGCGCCGCGGCCCCACTCGCCCA